AGATCTGCTCAGGACAGGTCACATTTAAGGGCTGATCACCCCAAACCTCAGATCTGCCCAGGACAGGTCACTTTTTAGGGCTGATCTCTGCAGAGCCCCATCGGGCAGGAACCCCCGGGTGAGTCTGGGCAGAGCTGGGGGACACCAGAAGCTCGGTGGGGACCTCCAGTGGAGGAAGCTCTGCTCCAGCAGCTGGGACTGGTGTCTGGCTATTGCCTTTGCATTGCTTGGCACCTAACGAGGAAGGAAGAAATCACCCACAGAAATAATTTTTCTGGAAAAAAAAATACTAAACTACTTTTTTTTTATGCTTAAAAAACCCCAATAACTGACTAGTTCTGAAAATTAACAAGCTAATAAACTATGTAAAAACTGGGTCTGCTTCTGTGAAATCTACATTTTAAAAACAGGCAAGTCCAAGAAATAATATATATAGTATATACACACATATATTATATATATATATATAATAAAATAGATACATTTCATTATATAAAATTTTATAAATATAATAGATAATAATATATTATTATATAATATATACTAATATACAATTCTAATATATAAGATATAAGATAGATATAAGATATATTATATATGATATGATATATGATATATGATATGATATATGATATATGATATATGATATATGATATATGATATGTGATATATGATATATTATATATTATATTTTATATATTATATATTATATATTATATAATATGTATACAGGTATGTCCCAGGTGTGCACAGGTGTGCTCAAGTGTGCCCCAGCTATGCTCAGGTGTGTCCCAGCTGTGCCCAGCTGTGCCCTGGTGTGTCCCAGCTGTGCTCAGGTGTGTCCCAGGTGTGTCCCAGCTGTGCTCAGGTGTGTCCCAGCTGTGCCCAGCTGTGCTCAGGTGTGTCCCAGGTGTGTCCCAGCTGTGCCCAGCTGTGCCCAGCTGTGCCGTGGTGTGTCCCAGCTGTGCCCAGCTGTGCTCAGGTGTGCCCAGGTGTGTCCCAGCTGTGCCCTGGTGTGTCCCAGCTGTGCTCAGGTGTGTCCCAGGTGTGTCCCAGCTGTGCTCAGGTGTGTCCCAGCTGTGCCCAGCTGTGCTCAGGTGTGTCCCAGGTGTGTCCCAGCTGTGCTCAGGTGTGTCCCAGCTGTGCCCAGCTGTGCTCCGATGTGTCCCTGCCTGTGCCAGAGGTTTGGGAAGGGCCGGGGAGGGGTCAGGGCTCTGCTGCAGAGCTGTGCAGCCCCTGGAGCTGCCTGTGTTGGTTCCCAAGTAAGAAATGGGAGCAGTGAAGAGCCCCTGGGGTCTCAAGGGGTGGCAGGAGTTTGGCCAAGCTCGCTCTGCTCCTTCCCCAGGAGTGCATCATTGACGAGGACTGTGAGCCAGGGAAGTTCTGCCTCTTCTCCCCCTCGGAGTACCGATGTCAGCTCTGCAAGCCCCAGCACACGGTGAGTCCTGAGCGAGGGGGGATTCCAGGGGATCTTCACAGACTCTGCAAAGTACTGCTGCTAATGGCAGCGAGACAAAATTGACAGAAAATAAACTGGAAAGCTTTCTGCACCAGGGTAAAAATACTTTCTTAGCGTGGGGTAATTAAAACCCGGGACTGGGGTGGCCCAGCACCTTCCCCCTCCCACCTTTCCCTGCAGCTCCCAGCAGAACACCTGTAGGAGCAGGAAAATAAAATCTGGGTCCCGCTGCTCTTGTGTGGAGTCAGTTCCCCGAGCTAGAACCTGCGGAGTCACACAGCATTTCCCCTGAATTAGCAGCTCTCACAGTGCCAGTGTAGTCCTGCTACACTGTTATGTTAATGTTATGTTAATGTTAAACACTGCCTGTGGGATCCGCTGGGAAAGAAACCCAGATTTTGTGTGGCTGCCCAGACAGGGAAAAGCTGCTGGGAGGCTGCTCTGCTACGACTCTTTAACATTGTTAATTAAAAAACTGAAAAAATAACCGAAAAAAGGGAACCAAGTGACACACATGGCTTTTATTGGGTTGATTTCTGAGGCGTGTGTAGTTGGAACACCCGGACAATTGTCACACAAAGCGACCTTTAGCATTTCTGATTTGCAAAGAGATTTGTTTTTCAGAGAGATTTTCTCAAAGGTTCTTGGTTACCAACGAGGTCTGGTTCTAATTACAACTAGAAAATGGATTTTAGTCAGACTTTATTTTTTTGTTGTTGCTTTGCTCTTTGAAAACAATTCTCCTGAACAAACTGTAAATTCCTGCCTGCATTTGTCAGTGGAAAAGATCAGTAATGTCCTCTGTTGATGACGTTTCAGTTATTAATTTCTATTTCCCTTGATTGCAGAAGAGAGGGCCCCAGGGAGAGCCTGGAGCAGCATTTCAGTGCTGAGGGGGCTGCAGGAGAGCTGGAGAGGGACATTCTGCAAGCATGGAGTGACAGGATAAGGGGGAATGGCTTTAAGGGGGGGAGAGGAGGGTTAGAGGGGATACTGGGCAGGAATTGCTCCCTGGGAGGGTGGGGAGAGGCCAGGCTGGAATTCCCAGTGAAGCTGCAGCAGGGCTGGATGGAGCAGTGCCCAGGACAGGGTTTGAGGGGTGTCCAGGGCAGGGTTTGAGGGGTGTCCAGGACAGGGTTGGATGGAGCAGTGCCCAGGGCAGGGATGGTTTGAGGGGTACCCAGGACAGGGTTTGAGGGGTGTCCAGGGCAGGACAGGGTTTGAGAGGTGTCCAGGACAGGGTTGGATGGAGCAGTGCCCAGGGCAGGGATGGTTTGAGGGGTGTCCAGGACAGGGATAGATGAGCTCTGCTGCTCTGCCCCTGTGCCCGTAGCTCCAGGTGTGCTCAGCCCAGGGAACGGGCAGCCGTGCCGGATCTCTGCTCCGGGGTCATTCCGGTCCCTGGGGCTGTGAGAGCCGCACGGAGCCCTCCGGAGCCCCTTTCTGAGCAGGCTTTTCCCGCAGCGCTGCTCTCGGGACGCCGAGTGCTGCGGGGAGCAGCTGTGCCAGTGGGGCCACTGCAGCAGCACCGCGAGCAGGGGAGAGAACGGCACCATCTGCGAGAGACAGCAGGACTGCAGCCCTGGCACCTGCTGTGCCTTCCACACAGGTACGGGACAACACAGGTACGGGACACACAGGTACGGGACAACACAGGTACGGGACAACATAGGTACAGGCTCACACAGGTACGGGACAACACAAGTACAGGACAACACAGGTACAGGCTCACACACAGGTACAGGCTCACACACAGGTACAGGCTCACACAGGTACAGGCTCACACACAGGTACAGGCTCACACAGGTACAGGCTCACACACAGGTACAGGCTCACACAGGTACAGGCTCACACAGGTACAGGCTCACACACAGGTACAGGCTCACACACAGGTACAGGCTCACACACAGGTACAGGCACACACAGGTACAGGCTCACACACAGGTACAGGCACACACAGGTACAGGCTCACACACAGGTACAGGCTCCCATCACAGGTACGGGCTCCCCCCGGCCGGGAGCGGCTCCGAGCCTGTTCTCGGGACCAGCGGGGTTTGGGATCCCCGAGGGGTGGGTGATGCTGCTCTCCTGCCTCGGCAGCAGGGTGATGAATAAGGATGAATTTCCAGTGTCTCACTCCCACGCAGTGCACAAAGCAGGGCTGTGGCTCCCTGCCATGTGAGGGATGCAGAGAGAGATGGAGCCTGTGTTTGTGCCCGCACACAGAATTAAGGCTGGGCTCACCCCAGTTCAGCAGCAGCTCAGGACTCCTCCCGAAACGCCTTTCCCTTTTCCTGCAGAGCTGCTGTTCCCCGTGTGCACGCCCCTGCCTGAGGAGGGGGAGCCCTGCCTCGACCCTTCAGACCGACTCCTGAACCTCATCAGCTGGGAGCTGGAGCCCGACGGGGTCCGGGAGCGCTGTCCGTGCGCAGGGGGCCTGAGCTGCCAGCCCCGGAGGTGAGCACTGAGCTGGGACTGAGCTGGGACCGAGCTGGGACTGAGCTGGGACCGAGCTGGGACTGAGCTGGGACCGGGCTGGGACTGAGCTGGGACCGAGCTGGTACCGAGCTGGGACTGAGCTGCCAGCCCCGGAGGTGAGCACTGAGCTGGGACCGAGCTGGGACTGAGCTGGGACTGAGCTGGTACCGAGCTGGGACCGAGCTGGGACTGAGCTGGTACCGAGTTCTTTGCATCATCAGCAGTTCCATTGGCAGAAAGTGAGATCATTTCAGTTTTGCTAAAAGCACTTTTAGAAAACCCACGTTTTCTATGAAATAAATCCTCCAAGTTTGCTCTACACTACCAGCACCTCGTTAACTTCCACCAAGGCGTCATAGCTGGGATGGAGATGCAGATTAGTATTTCTCTCTTCTGTGTCCAACTCTTTCTACATTGTTTCATGCTTGAAAAGGAACTGGGTAACATTTTGCTTCATAAACGTCAGCTAAGGAAGCAAGCAGAGCTGATCCCATCCTTTCAACACCAGAATTTCTGTTAATGCACCATTAACCTCAGGGAAGGCCTGTCAGCAAATGTCAGCTCGAGTAAGAACATTTCACATGAGGATACAGAAACACAGAAATTAATTAGGGTGTGAATACAGCTGAACTGCCCAGAATTTTCTCTCTGAACTTGAAGATTCAAGTAGCATTTTTTTGTTATCTGTTTATTTGAGGGCCACTGCTCTCTCATTTGCCAGGATCAGACATTTTGTGCTGTTAGGATCTGTGTAGGTGGAAAGCACATTTGTAACTCACCAGGTGCTTGTGAAGCCAGCTAGGGTGGAAGCAGTGTGCATTTGACACGTTTTCACGTGGGGAGGGAATGGGGAATTTCAGAGTGGCAGCAGGACACAAAAGCATGCCCTGGATGACCAATGTGCCTTTTCCCACAGCCACAGCACTGCCTCCGTGTGTCAGCCGCCTGCCAATGGAACCCAGCACGCTGAGAGAGAAGAGCCCTCGCTGATGGAGGAGATGCCCTTTCTCAGCCTGATGCCCCAAGATCTCCTCTCTGATTACGAGGACAGCAGTGTCATTCAGGAAGTGCGAAGAGAATTAGAAAGCCTGGAGGACCAAGCGGGTTGGAAGCCTGAGCCTGACTCAGCTCAGGAGCTGGTTTTGGGAGATGAAATCTAAAGCCCAAGCACCAGTCTAGTTAGTTATTTCTAGATTTTTTTCTGTTTAGTGTCTTGCTTGTTTGAACCCTGATCACACACTGCTGGATAGAAGTGCAATAAACAAGGCCTGCAAGGAGCATCCTTCTCTCTGTCCCAGCTGCTGTGGAGTCCATGCAGTGCCTGGACCAAAGCTCCTGCCACAGGGGAACCCCACGAGTGCCCTGCTGGATTTGTACTTTCCCCCTGTATGTCAGAAATAAACTTCTCAGTACTTGTACTCATTAAAAAATGCACACAGGCATAAATCATTTTCAATTACCAGAAACTGCAGAAGTGACCTTTGAGTACGGATGTTCAGAGTTGCTTTATTTCTCTAGGGTAAGAACCATCCACTCTGACACTGCTGCAGTCATAAGTTTTAAAGAATTTTTAAAGGAATTTTTATTTTTTCTTTAGAATCGGTTTGTGCTTTTAATACACTTCATGTTACAAGATGGGATTATTTTTACCACCTTGAAAGGTCATCGATGTAAAAAATCAACAGCAAGCTAAGAGCAAAGTCTGACCCCCCAACCTCCCCAGTTTGCTACCACAGCTCCTCCACTGTCAGGTTTTCTGGCATTTCCATTTTACCATCTGTTGTTGCACATGGTAAAACAAGATGTGAGGTTCCAGCCAAGTAACTTTGCACAGTGCTTCTCCCCAAATGATCCCTACTGCTCACATCTACCTTGGAACAGCAGAGCACCAGGAACAGGAGCAGGTGTAAGACACTGCTGCCACCCTGCACATCTTTCACCACCTCTGCTGTATGAAGGCTTCTCAATAAATCCCCTGGGCAACAGAATTAATAATTAGTAGCCATTATCATTATAAATAGGGAGGGTATTTCATTGTAACTGTGTGAGTTTTGGTTTAAGGATTCTACAACCCACTCTCACACCAACACACACACAGTCTGAGTTCACTGAGTCTACACCCTCCCTTTCGACCCCCAATAAAATCACTGTGCTGTAGAGACAGCCCCATCTATGCAAAGAGAAGGAATTAAGTGCCACCACAATTTCTCCTGCTCTAAAACATATCCATGAGAGCAGTAACTGTCTGTAAATACTGCCCTCTTAAGGACAGTATTCCAAGGTCTTAGTGCTGCCATCCCCAGACTGAATCTCTACATTTCTCTTTCAAAAGGTCTGAGTTGGAAGAAAATTCATGATCCATTTGATAGATAATTTTTCTCTCTTCCAAAAGCTCTAAGGCTGCTTGAGCAGTCTCTGTCTGTGGCAAATGGCAGCTTTATGAAGTGCCCTTCCCAGGGGATGGTATTTCCCTCTCTGCTCCCTTTGCCCCACTTCCAACCTCAGGAATTCTGGCCAGAGGCAGTGCAGGGCAGCCAGAGCAGGAATGATGAGGGGATGCCTCTGTGCAATTCCTGCTTCTCAGGCTGCCAGATTCCTCAGCATTTTTAGCTTGCTGTGGGCCAGCATGCAGGGAAGAACTGAAGGTTCTGTTATTCAACACCCCTTTCCCTCTGGAGCAGAATTTATCTGCCAGTCGTACTTGGAACCTTCACTGGTGAGAAATTCAGTTCTGTTAAAGGAAAGTGAGAGTTGAAGAAAGATTTGGTGTGAATGTGAAGAGGAGCAGCAGCCAGGCTATAAAGCAGTTCCTGTAACACTCTGCACATACACACAAACACACAGCCTTGCAATTCCAGCACTGCCTTGGGGAACTCTGTATCTCCATGAAACAATTCCATAATTCTTGAAATAAAAACACAGCATTTAATGATTAAAATAACACAACAGAATGAACAAATGTTTTATTGGCATGTTCATCGTTGTAAACAGCATCTGGCATGAAAAAGTTTACCAAAATCTTTTGATTGTTATAAATTAGATGGTTTTTCCAAAAACTATGGAGAATTGTTCTCTATTGATCTTTATGGACCAAAGCAAAAAATTGCTGTTCCTAGGCTTTGCAATGAAATCATGTTGACTGCATCAGTCTCTGCACCACAGCCTGAACTACCGAGTTCGTACGTTGAGGTGTTAAGAGGTTGCCCCAATATTTGACTACATAAAGCTATGGAATCAACTCTGGGAAAAAACAAACTGACTTTCAGCAGGTGGAGAAGATGCAAACTTGTAATAGTCTTAAAAACAAAATGTACAAAAAGTAGCAGAACAGAAGGAAAACTTCATTAACAAAGGGAAGTACAAGCCTAAAGTACCCAGCATCGTCAAACATAAAATGAATACAGATTTAAATAGGCAGCTACACTTCCAAATGTACACAACGAATGTCGATATGTGTAAAGAAACAGCATGGGAAATAGCTGAACTGCAGTTCTGGGAAATGGGTAGGGCAGGTTTTATTTACAATCCAACGCAATACACTACAGCTGCTCATGGGTAACCTATGAAAAACCACTTTACCTTCCACCAGCACTTCTGCAAACCATCACTGCCCGGCAGCAGCTTCCTGCAGACACCCCAGTGAGCCCCCGCTTTATGGAAGAAGATTGTTAAACCTGACACTTGCAGCACTCCCCCGCTGCCTCCCTGGAACCCACGTGTTAAGGTTTACTCCAGACTCTCTGATGAGGTAATGCGTGTATCAGTGAAACAAACAGAGAAAAGGATTCTTTCATGGCCTTTGCACAGCTTTTATTATTAAGCTATGAGTATCCTGTTGGAGGCTAGTTTCACTAGCTACTATGTGCACACTGTCCTCAACAACTGCCACTCGTTTCCCTCCCCGCCCACTTTTGAGTTCTAATCTTTTATTTGCACATCCCTTTTAGCTTTACAGTACATTTGACTATAGTGCACAACATGATTCCAAGTCCCACGGTGCGCGGCGGGCGCTGCCTGCGGCCGGCACGCCCGGCCGTGCTGGTGGCAGCGCTTTACACCTAATGAATGTCCTGCCATAATGGCACTACACAGTAGTAGTGAACCTTTTGATTGGAAACAAAAAAAATTCCCCAGGGAGAATGCTATAGCGAGTATCAGTCTTGAGTCAAATCTTTATTTGGTGCTCCATCCAGATAAATTTTTAGTGCTTTTTCTTTACGGGGAGAGTAGGTTACCCGGTGTCCAGTTTTCTGCAGTCTGCTGCTTTCTTTTTTCATCAGTTCATTTCTTTGCTCATCTGTTAATTCCATTAATTCTTCAGTTTTATCCCTAAAGTGTAAACACACGTTCAAATTCAGATCAATACCGTAACCACAAGCAGACTCCTGCTTTCCTTTTTGCTTGGAGCAGCTGTGGTGAAATCCACAGCTAAGTGTAATATTTCTCAGGGACTGCTTTATTCTGCAGGAACAGGCAACGTGTCCAGAGCTGCTTTTCCAGCAGAAGCACTGGGTGTCCTGCCAGACTAGAGACCAGGGCAAGAACCAAGCCCACACTCCTCCACCTCTCCTGCTCCTCTGTTACAGCCACAGCCCTGCTCTGCTTTTGGTCCCAGTGCCAGCAGCTGGCAGCAGTGTGACAGCCAGCCCCTACCAGGTGTTCCCCCAAGCCATTTCCATCAGGACCAGCACATTTTTACGTTTTTAACCAGCTGCTTTTGCCCAGCTCACCTGCAATTATGCAAAATGCCACAGCAATATGTCTATGAGGCTGCCCCACCCACCAGCTTTAGGAGAAATGACAATATTCAAGCTCTCAGTCCTCAACTCCTGCCCTGGGCTACTGCCACCAGCTGATCAGCATTTTTCACATTAACAGAATTTTTAGCATAACAGGCTTTTTAGAAAGAATCTGTACTGATTTATCAAAGGAATAAACTCAGATAATAAAATCCTTGCTCTCCAAAACCTACAGCAAGGCTCTCACTAACTTCATGTGGGATATGGTTCTATTTTAAGAAATTAAATCCAGATACACACTCAAGCATAGCAACTAACTTTAATTTCAGTGGTTTGGGAGGGAGGATTGAGTAAAAAGGTGCAATGCCTGTTTTCTTAATTAATATTTAGGCTTTTAGGAAGCAGAGGAGCACAAATATTTCAGCTGAACGCTTTAAACCTTTTCTTGAAAGTAACAAAGAGTATTTTATGTTCCTGTCCATTACATCACCCCACAAATTTAACCACAGGTTTTTTTGGCATGGTTGATTGTACTGTAATGAAATACATACCTATAAAATATTACTGCACCATCATCACAAATGTACAGGGGCCAGACATTCAATGTAGATACTTTTGGATTCCAGTCCAAGTCTTGATGAATCTCTAGTATGGAAATGTCACATGGAAAGGTTCCTCTACCCTGAAAAAAGCCATTACTTACTGAATGCAGTAAAACTCATCATCACACACCTGTGCCATTCAAAGGTAGAAATACACAAAATCTTACTTACCTTTGCAAATTCAATGTTTTCTAAGGGTATTCCACTTATTTCACTTAGCTGTGGAGAGAAATGGTGGATTTAATACTATTCCAAAGCAACATTACACAGTGTCTACATAAAGTCACCAGCTGCCAAATGGAGAATTATCTGCAAGTCCTCCAGTGTACAAAAGCACAGTGACAAGGACAAATTCTTAACATTTCTGGAGTTACCAGTGTGTGTCACAAGTGACGCTTGCTGTGACAGCATTTCACCACACTTCTCTTAATACTGAAGGGGAGACAAAAAAAAGTTTATAGAAACAATTAATTAATTGATACAAAGATACAAGACACAAAGAGACCAAGTGCCTCATGTTAAAGCCTGTGTGACATGGAAGGTGCTATCCAGTCAACCTGAGAGCAGGCACAGCTGAAAGTATTCGTGGCTGAGACCCACCTCCACACATCTGCACCTCCTACCAGAACTTAGAGAAATAAAATTGCTCCCTGCACATCAATTCTTAAGGCAAGAAAACAAGGGCAGCCAACTCTTTCTTCAGATACAAGTGAGGAGGAATTCTTGACTGCATGCAAGAACCCATATTCATAACTTCATTTCTCCCTGAGGAATGCAGGAAAGCAGCCACAGCTTAACCTGTGTAAAACACAAAGCCAGCCTGTGGACTAACACCCCTACTTTATCAATTCTCAGGGTCACTGACACCAGCATTTTCACTGGCCTCAACACCCAAGGTGGCCTCCTAACAATTGGGCATTGCCACGTATAAATAAACCTTTCTCCAAGTGTGGAGCCCTGTGTTACACTGGATTAACAAAACAGTCTCAACAGGAGACACTCCTCCTCCAGATTTCTGCTGGCATGACACAGCTCTGCTCACCTGCTAGAGTAAAACCAATCCATACCACAGCCATACCTCTATCCAAACAAAACATGGTTCAACCTACTTGATACAG